TTAATTTTCCGAGCGGAGGTAGTACTACAAACAATAATGGCAGGACACTACCATTGTAGTGTAAAGAAAGCAAGCCACCGTGCCTCTGCATATTCAGACTAAGGGTTATTTATCGTAGTAATTGTATGATCCAACAATCAAAAGGTTTGATTCAAAATTAACGAAGAGATCCAAAGATGGCAAGCCTTCGAGCCACTGCCATCGACGTTGCTACATATTGTTTACAAAGAAAACTAGAGAAGAGAAATCAAAGTCCAAGCGAGCCACTGAGCCGCTGGCACTACCGACAATCCTAAAGAAAAAGAAATAAGGAGTGAAAATACACTTCACACACGAAAACGTCAAATCGACAATGCAAACACAAATGATGCCTACTGCCCAATTCAACCAAGTAAAAAACTGTGTTGAACTCTAAGTTAAACAACCTCAAGAAACTGGGGGCCTTAATCTGAAAAGATAAACCAAATAAAAATGAGGAGCTGGAATATAACTTAGAATGAAAGGCAAGCACAAAAATGCATAAGCGGCTCACCGGCAAAACACGCCCACTGTTTAGAAATACAAAAAATAGAAATGAAAAATTTAAAGAGAAATTCGTACATTCAGCAAATGTTATGTAAACATTGTGTGAACATTTTCAGCAGAACACGCCCACTTTTGGCGCCAAAACAGATGATCGCCATGCTGTAACTGACTTGTTTTTAGTATTCAAATGAAAAATAAGCCCACTGGACTTCAAACCGCCAATGTAATTGCCCTCACAACGCATTTTGCGCCCAAGACTATCAAGTACCGCCCCAAGCCCCGCCCCAAGCTTCACTATGCAGACACCGTACTTGTACCACGTAGAGGACGAAGGTCTCTTCGTCCTCTCTGAAGTGATGGAGGTGACGTGCGACGATGAGACCTGCGCCCGCTGGTGCATGGACGTGGGTCAGATAGACAAGCAGAAGCGATGCCCAAGTTGCGGAAGCCTCATGAAGCCATCTTTGGCCCGAAAGCGCTGGCGATGCTCTCGCAGGACTAAGCATACCGATGGAAAGGAACAACCCATTGGCATGCTGACCTGTTCATTCTTCAACGATGCCAAGCTAAAGCTACACCGGGCCGTCCGCCTCCTCTTGGCCTGGGCCATGAGGCTCTCTCAGGTGCAGGCAATGGAAATGGCCGAGGCGAGCGAACGCACAGTGCGCGACTGATATGCGTACTGCCGCGGAACGTGCTCGAAGGAACTCCTGAAGACCGAGTTCAAGGTGAAGTTGCACAATTACTATGCTTAAGTTGCTTAACCCTTCTAGAACGGTATTCTGTATACTACAGAATAAGAGTTTTCGCAGTATTTAATATCCAGAAATGTTGACTGCGCTGTCGAATCTCGCATCTATTATTTTGTATGTGTGCTGATCAGTCGACCGCTCCTAATAGATCTGCGCTGGGTAGATAGCCGGGGATTAGCGTGTTGGCATAGAAAGACGAGTATAAGGTGTAAAAATTGAGGTGACAGCCCACGCAAACGCGTGTCAGCCACTCCATCTTTCCCCATTCGGAAAGATGAACGGTTCTGGAGAGAAGTCGTTCACGCAGCTGTGGCGTGACCTGTGCAAGGAAGGATGGAAAGCTCGTAAGTCCACCAGTATCGCTAAAGACCACCGCTACGTAAAGCCAGGAATCAAGGGCCGCCTCGATGAATCGCGACGCGGATTAGACTTCTTTGAAAGTGGGTGGATGTGATTGTAGCTTATAATTTTCGGTGTACTAATGTCTGCTTTGAACCAGGTGAGAAGGATCTTATGGCGTTTGATCGTCTCTCAGGCCTCCTGGATCACCAACCTTCCAGCGCATCAGTGGGCTCTGTCGTCCGACGACCCATTGGTAAGCAAGCAGCTTATGCAGCCATCGGTATTGACCCCCCATGCGTTCCATCCCCCACGACAAACCAGGCTTCAGTGGCGCCGGCCACAACTGCGAGTTGAGAATTGGTCGCGACTGTTTCTTTGCCGGCTTCCCTCGGTTCAGCACCTGATGATACGTATACGGCGGCGGTTATCACGAAAGTAGTTGAATCTCAAGCGATAGAACCAGCCGGTATAACAGATGCTACAGAACAAGGTGATGGATCAGATGATGTTGTTCAGGATGATACAGAATTGCATCCCAGGGAGAACGCGACAGATGAAGAAGAAGGCAAAACTGAGAGCGGCGATCTGAACGAGACTGAAAACTTCGTAGATTTGGACGTGTTCGACAGGGATAACTTCATGGAGAGTCTCCATAAGGAGCCGCTGTTTGGCCCGACAGATGATGACGATGTGAACTTGGTGGATAGCGCTGACTTCTGCGATCCTGATTCAGATGCAGATGATGATGGGATATTGGAAGACAATGAGGGGACTACGTCTTCTCTAGAAGGTGCCAGCGATGTTGAAGATGTCCCAATGACTGAAGACGTCTCTGAATCTGAACTGTTGGGGTTTACGGAAGATGACTTACGTGATATCGCTGGGAATGGATGGGTGACGTATGGCGAAGACCACAGCGGTAAGCCCGGATAGCACAGAATAACTTAAAACGCATATAAACTAAATCTGTATATGACATATTTGCAACAATGTAGAGGATTTTCAAGTTGATGCGACTGCGGACTATTATGACGGAGAATTTGGGCCTACGCGTTCTGCAGTTGCGTACGCAGATTCTCCATTGGGGATGTTCTTTTACCTCTTGCCAAAGGAACTATGGAGTCATATCGTTAAAGCGACGAACAGATACAGAGCCCAGAATATCACCGTCATTGCCACGTCACGTAGGAACAAGTTGCTGGCTCGGCAGGCCAAGGATCCTCGCATCAGTGTTCCTGATTTGGCGGATATTGAGAAGGCCTGAAGAAGTTCAAGGATATACAGCCCCATGAGATCGTACACGTCGTAACATTACTCTTTGCTCGCGCAATAGCACCGATTCGAGATGGACTTGCCAAACATTTGTCTACCGATGAAGAAGGTGCTGTTCCACGAGGAACGTTCTCGCGCTACATGAAGCGTGATCGCTTCGTAGCGATCTTGAAGTTTCTTCGCTTCAACAACAATGAACAAGGTGGAGTGCTTGTGGATACGGCCTGGAAAGTTCGACCTCTACTGCAAGCTGTTGAGACAACGTTGCGCCGTGGATATCGCCTCGGAAAAGTAATCTCTTTTGACGAAGGTATGATGGCTAATCGAAGCAAATACAACCCAATGCGCGTCTTCATGCCAGACAAGCCCCGCAAGTATGGCACCAAATTCTACATGACGTGTTGTGCTGACACCGCGTACTGCTCAAGTAAGGACATGCTATTCTAAATATTACCGAACATCCTATTCTGGAGGATACAGATTAACATGGAGTGTACACATGATATTCTGTATGTGATATAACTTAGAGTGGAAATCTACTGTGGAGCTGACAAATCGAAGCAGAAGAAGAGAAAGGCACCAACAGACACACTGGGACTTGGCGCAAAAGCTGTCGTAAGAAAGATCTCGAAGGTGTTGATGGACCAGCCGAAGAAGCGACTGATTGTTACCGACAGTTTTTACTCGACCGTATCGCTCAGTCTGAAGCTGCTGGGCATGGACTTGTACCACGTCGGGACTACACGGACCGACAGGTTAGGCTGGTGCCCAATTCACGTCACGCAAAAGAAAATACCACAGCACATGCCACGTGGAACCTACCGTATTGCCCAAGCGCGAGACCACCCCGAGCTCGTCGCACTGAGCTGGATGGATTCCAAGCCAGTGAACATGCTCGCTACACGATGTAGCACGCGTCGCACCAGTGTTTTCCGCACGCAGAAGGATGGAACCCGCACTCCAGTTCCATGTCCACAGCTGGTCGTGGACTACGGCCTCGGTATGGGTGGAGTTGATGCCCACGACCAGCTACGACTTCACCGCTACAGTAATTAAAAGTGCATTTCGCTCCGGAAAAATTACAAGCAGCTATTCCTGTGTATCGTAGACATGGCAGTTGTCAATGGTTACATTGGTCACTGCATTACAGTCAATTAAAGAGGAGAGAGCCATCTACACACGCAGAATACTTGCGCCGCTTGCACGCACAGCTACTGGCGCTGCGTACAATCAACTTCGAGACGCATCTCAACGCAGAGGATCTAGTTTCAGGGCCGATACCCCGCTAACAACACTCGTTAGTGAACACAGACGATTACTACACAAAGGGAACGCAGCACAAACGAAGACAATACTTGCGCAAAGTGTGCTCCGCGTACGCCGATGCCAATACCAAGTCATTTGAGACCAGCTTCTTCTGCCAGGAATGCAGTGACGCGTTTGGTGGACGTGTGCCGCTTTGCCGTCAAGTACGGCTCGTCGAAAGCGGTAACTCGCTAACATGTGCGCAGATTTGGCCCGACACTTGGAACGATGGTTAGTGCATTCCGCCAGCTCTAAAAAAGAAGATAAGATTCCGTAAGCGTAAAAAAGATAATGAGACTGAGGAACAAGATAACCGTAAGGCTAAAAGATAAGAGCACTTACACGGCGTATAGCGATCTCGTAGTGGCGCGCGCAGAGAAGAAATTGCCCTGTTCCTCCTCACTAATCCGTTAGTTAGGAACTGGGCAAATTCTTCCACTGCGCGTGGCCCAGGTTTGGCGCGCGCTGTTTGGCGCCAAAGATGGGTGGCTGAAACCTAGAGATGGCCACTTCCTGTGATAGTACCGAAAATGACGGGTATTGCTTGGTTGGAGGTTTTGACCGTGTTCTGTTCAATCGGGAGCCAATAGAAAATCGCTATTTGATCTGATGGTGGATACATTGTGGGATCTATGCCCACTTCTGTGGCTTCTCTGCGTTCAGTCTGCTCCGTTTATTTACAACAGGTGCGAAAGGGCTCACCACAGCATGCTTTTCGCAGGTTTTCTGGCATACTTTAATCAAGGTATTTCCTTATTCTGTAGGATACAGAATAAGAGGCCGTTCTAGAAGGGTTAAGTTGCTCTAACCTTGCTGGTATCGTGCGTGTAGATTGGAGGTGACGGTCACATAGTGGAGATTGACAAGACTAGCCTGGCCAAGAAGCGTAAATACAATAGAGGCCGCCACTACCAGGAATACTAGCTTTTTGATGGCGTGGAGCGCGGGACTGGAGGATGGTTTGGACGGATCGTATACGACAAACGAGCAAAGTAGACACTTCTTCCCATAATCAAGAAGTTTATCAAGCCACGGTAAGTTTATTTACTTTTTTGGTAATCGGTGCCTCATTTAATTTTATTTTACCAATTATTTTATTTTGTAGAACTAAGATTATGTCCGACATGTTCGCTACGTACGTTTGTGAACGTGGCAGCAAGCAACATACTCTCGAGAACATTGGTCTCCTGCTGTCTATGAACTACACGCATAGCTGTGTCAGCCACAGCCTCAACTTTGTAGACCTGGTAGCGGGAACACATACTAATACTATTGAGGGGCTGTGGGAGACCCGTATCAAGCGCCACATTAAAAGCATGCGAGGCATGACCAAGGACAAGCTCGACTCCTACTTAGATGAGTACATGTGGCGATCATGGGGTTTTTTCGCCAAAGGCTTCAATCGGTCAATACTTTGCTGGTCTGGTAGTTGCCATTATAAGAAATGAATAATATATTATTTCATTATTATTTTTTCTTATTTCTAGACAGTGGGCGTGTTTTGCCGGTGAGCCGTATAAGCCTCTGCCATAAAATGTCTCGACAGATAATGAATGGCATACTACCAAGCTTTGTCGGACATTCAGCTTCCTGAACAGTAAAGATATGCTAACAAAGCCTCTATCTATGCTTACCGAGCAATAACACTTTTTGCATGAGCAATGTCTCTAACAATTGACTAAATAGTGTGCATGCTTCTCACTAAAGAACTATAATAAAATCCGGAATACAATCCGAAGAGCCACTAAGGAGAAAAATGCCCTAAATATGTGAGCTAGGTAAAATGTGAGTGAAGTGTGTTCCGACTGAGAATATTGCTTTGGTGCAAGCATTGTTACCTAGCTGCTCACAGCATATTTATGCTACATTCACAAAAGAAATATAATGAACAAAATCAAAACGCAATTTGCATGATGCAAATACAAAATTGCAAATTTCACAAAGGCTGCCTAGCTTGTACGACAAAAAAATACCCCAAACGTTGAAATACAAATACTTAAGGAAATGTATGAAACTGGGAGGCATCAATGCCAAAAACGGTTCACGCGTTCGCCAAACTTTAACATATATTGTCACTAGCAAAAGTTTCAAACATTTCCAGCATAAATTACCAAAAGAATGAGAAAATAAATATTCAGCACTATATGACTACAAAGCAGGCCTACAAAAGCCTCTGTCTACAGAAAACAAACTATAGTTTTACTGCATCAATTCCATCTACAATGAAATCGATAGTTTGCAAATCTATCGCTAGCGCTTGCGAAGTAAAAAGTAAAATTATAAACTTCCAAACGAGAAACAACTCGATGAGCCTCTGGGGAGAAAAATAACCCCAACGACGAGAGCTTGCGCACTTACTGCAAACATGATGCGTACGCTACCGATGAAACTGTTTGATGTTATTCATGCTTTTAAAATGATGTAGCCTTTCTTCAAAAATATGTGAAAACTGTAAACTCTCAATAAAAATAGTCAGAACAATTTGAAAATGACTGCAGCACCTATATCAACCATTTCATGAAATTGGGAGGCAATTTTATAAGACCTCAGCAACGAAAAACAAAAACGAAACCACACAGTGTGAAGAAATATCCACATATGAAAGAGCTAAACAATGGCAGTTTAAGAAATGAACAAAGCTAAACGCTTACACAAAATATATAGAGATAAATTTGGTGAACAGGTGTAGCCTTGAAGGTTTCCTGAGTAGCCAACAGCAAAGCGAACAGGTTTTGATCCCTAAAAATAAAGGTTTTGCTGGGGTAGCTTCTACAAATTCGTACAACTAAAACGATTATAGCAACAACAGAGCGAACAGGTTTTGATCCTTAAAGTTAAGATTTTCCTGGAGTAGCTTCTACAAATTCGTATAAGTAAAACGATAACAGCAACAATTCAGCGAGCACGTTTCGATCCTTAAAACTAAAGGTTTCCTGAAGTAGCTGCTACAAATTCGTTTAACTAAAACGATAATAACAACAATCACTACGGTGAACAGGTTTAATCCTCTAAGGTTTTCATGAGTAGGCAAAATAACAATGAAAACATGAAATCAGCACAGTCCCTGCCAAAACAAAAGCGGCAACAAAATGACAAATCTGACAAACAAAGTCGAAGGAAAAATATTATCAATATCCAAAAGAAGATCTTCAGTGAGGCTCGACAGCCATGCGTTGCCCCCCGCCTTCGCTAGGAAGAGCTGCAGGTTCTTGGCGTCGCATGTGATCGTCGATGCGTTCTCCTCCTTGATGGCTTTCTTCAAGTGCCCCACCGACTTGTTCTCATTAATGTCCACAGGGAACGTGCTCCCAGCCACATCAACGACAGCACAGAACAAAGTAACCATAGTCTTCGAGCCGGCTGATTCTGTAATATGAGAAAAGGGGATAAAATGTTGCACTCGTACCTAAGCGGGAAAAGAAGGTGATGTCACAGTAGGGGGATAATTTTGCACACATTCTCTGGATTTTATCTAGAGTCCCGTGATTGTTTAGCGATTTCGCTTACCCTGTCATAGCAGTTTCGAATCGTATGAGTACTCATTTTAAAAGCAGCTTTTAAAAGCAGCTTCCTTTTCATAAATAATCTAATGCACGTAGGCTGACCCATTGACCAAAGATGAAGGCAAAATTTCTGGCTAAAATTGTTTGACGATTCTGTATTGTAACTATATTTATTCAAGCCTGCTAGTCGTGATTGGTCATCTGCTGTCGAAACCCGATACGACATAATTCAGACTTACTACAGCACTAGCAGTATGGTCAGATTTTCCTTTCCTACTGCTTTTCCCTACCTTTTCGCATGGCTACACTCGGCCTACATTTTCGTCCCAGCTTACGGACCACGCCTATCTTTCTAACTCGGCCTAACTATGCCAAAATTACAAAAAACAAAAAAATCACACAAATAACTCACGCCCTGATAGGGCGATATTTGCGGACCTGCGACACTGACTGGACGATCAGACCGTCCCTCGCCCTCGCGATTGGACGTGAGGTGCACACTTCTGCCGAGCACGAAGCGCACCGATTGGATGCAAACTGCGTTGACGATTGATTATTTACATTTCGCTACTCCAACCTTTCGTATATACAGTAAATCGGGCAAAACAACCCCTCATTTTGTAAGAGCTCTGTATTTTTTTCACACACCTTTCAAAGTAGAGACGATAGTTTAATATTATTTATGTAGGCTTTAAAGCCCGCATTTTGTAAGAGCTCTGCGATGTTATTTTCCACACACTTCTCAAACTAGAGATGATAGTTTTTTATTAAACTATTCAAAGTTTAATTAACGGAGGCTTCACAACCTTTGCGTTAGCTATACCAAGGTATCGCATGCGCGCATGGTACGTACGTGGTAGAGTTTAAAATTATGGCTATTGTTTAAAAAAGTAAGTTGTGCTCGCAAAAAGAAAAAAAAACATTATTGAAGCGATTGCAAAATTTTATTATCTGTTTAATTACGGGTACCAGCATTAAATGGCCGTGTATTGGCTGATATTTCTGACGTATTTTATGATTTAAATAATAAAGTACTTATGCTAAAATAAGGCTACTATATCGCTTAATAAAATACGCCCAGCAGTAAATATCCTAAGAATACCTAATATTTTTACGCACGTTAGTAATCGTAAGAGTTTGCCCACAGTTTGCAGCATGGCGAGGCCCACGTCGAGCAAAACCAAGATTGACGTGTTTCTGCTGAATCGGCAGCGGTCTGCGACAGATTCTCGGGCGCCTTGAGTCTGATGTGGGAAACTGCTGTACACGTTCCGCACAATCAGCGGGCGGGACATCGTGCGGCGCTGTATTGCCTACGAGAACGGCCCAAAAGCGGTTGCGTTCTGGGAGGAAAAGCCCCCCCCCTAATTCGGCCGAAGTGCGATGCCAGGAAAGCACGGCAAACATCAAGAAGGCGAGGGGTCCTGACTGTTGCACCAAGAAAAAAATAGGCGAAGCCACCCTCGCAAGCTGACCGCCCGAACCGCCAAGTATATCGAGCAAAAGAAGCAGAAGAAGATCAAATGATTAGAATATACTCCCTTTAAGGCCCCCATTTTCCTTCGTATCTTTGTGTTTTGTACGGGGGGGGGAAGGGGGGCAACGCGAGGCTTAGAGCCGAGCATACGGTAAACTGACTATGGTGCTGCTAGTAGTGCTGACTATGGTGTAGTAGAACACACAAATACCGTCAGATGTGGATTACTTACACAAACCACAACGAATCGCCGAGTTAGGTCGGCGGGTGTATGGCCTGCGCATAGGGTGGTCCCCTCGCGGTTCGGCCCTTCCGGGACAGACGAGTGGCTCGCTTCCACTCGGTTCCGACTAACCAAGTCAGATCACTTCCAAGGCTCCGCAGATTTTGGCTCGGCTGAGCTCGTTCACAACCCTGTGCCCTCCACCAAAGGATGGACGACGGCGCGCGAGCGCTTTTACAGGTCACCGAGCGCACAGGCTGCTCAGCTAGGAGTATTACGGTACCCAGGCTATCCGACGTACCGGCCCGCTGCGTTTGCGGGGCTTTCTTTCGCGCGTAGCGAGACTTTGTCCTACCCGGACCGACCTAATCTCTTGGCGCTACCAGTCAATACCCTACAAGCTATGCCTCTCGAGTATCGACGGCAGGCATAATCCAGCCCTATGCAGGGACTTACCGGAAAAGTGTACACGTGTCTTGGACTAGAAAAATTCTGCTCTGTTATCTTCTGGGAGCCTTTTCGGTTCCCCCTATTTGATCATATGCTGCTTTTACAAATATCTAGTGAAATGTAGTCGTTTTGGATCTCTACCGACCCTTCAGCTGAGTTCAGGCGACCGTTGAGCTCAGCGGCTATCCGGATAGCGTCCTCCGGACAGATCGCCGAGTACTTACCGTGATCATTTGTTCCTAAGCCTGGGTTATCAGACCGAGCCGATTCTTGATCTTAAGTAGGTTGGCGTATGGTCGAATCTGGAAATCCCTACACCACAACTGCCCCGGTTATGATACGAGCCGAGCTGGTGAGTGTCTGAATCCTTCATTTGGTTCTGTCACCGTTGGGGCGTACTCGGCTGATGACGTCTCGCGGCTCTCCAACATACGTTTGTTGCTTCCGCTGTCACTCAGTTGGCAGCTCCTTACTCCTCGCATGTTACTCCAGCACAACTCGCGGCGCCACCACTCTCCTCCAACTCCTCGTCGAGGTTAAGGCGCGCCAGCTGAGTCGATTGCACGACCCGTCGGCACTCGTGGGGTCAGCGACCGGCCTGAAGCTGGGTTGGTCGACCTGACAACTTCCCATTAGTCTGATGCGGAGTCGGCACAGTCTTCTCGCGCGCGCCCTCCTGCTTGCCGGGCGACACCACTTCGGGCGCCACCAGTCAGTCAAGCTCGGCTGCTCCAGTGAGTCTTGACTCCCTCATGGCCAGGGTTAACGAGCAGGGGTACGAGC